TGTATATGTTAGTGTGGTGTTTGATTGTATTTAAATGAGTTCATCAATGAAATATAAGAAATGTAAAGCAGAATTGATGACTCCCTAATTTTTAAGTATATAATGGTGTCCTAATTTCATTTATGTTGCCGTGACAACATGTCCTGACCCGGGGGGGGGGGGGGAACCCTTAGGAAAGAAAGGTCTGTCTCTCTCTCTCTCGTCTTTCTGTCATGCTCTACCTTATCTTTTGAGGCAGAGCCTCTCACTTCTCCTGAAAATAGGCTTTTCTTTTCTGCTGGACTGGCTGCAGTGCAGTGAGCTCTGGGGACCCTGCTGTCTCCCCTTTACTCATGTTGGGATTGCAGCTGTGTGCCATCATGCTACCACACCTGGCTCTGCCATCCGAGCATCTCCCCAAACCCTCATTTTTATTATTGAAATCTTCCCATGTTAGGGAGCTCGCAGCACTTGAAAAGGCCCCTGTCCTTCCTGGGCTCAGTATAATTCTCCAGTTTCCACTACAGTGCCTGTCAGAGATGAAATGCTGAGGACATTGTACTCATAGAGGGAGAGAAGCCAAACCAATGAGGTAGCGGCTTGCTTTTAGGCCAACTTTGCAGCCTTGCTTCAGTGATGAGATGTCCGAAGGATGCGGCCATGTCATCAACTCCACAATGAGGACTACTAAAGGAACCTGAGTTCTGGATGGATAAAATGATGGCCCAGAAATGAATGCTTTTATAGATTTTTTTCATTTGCTCAGTATTAATAACAATCCATCTTGAAAAAAGGGGAAATGAAGAAACTAATTTGGCGGGCTTCAGGAAGATGCAAACAGAATGAACCATGACCCATTCAAGGCCTGGCATTCCCCATAGGTACGTTTTGTCTCAGGGTCTCTTTTCTCCAGTCCTTGTAATGGATTTCTTTAAATGTTTTTTGCTTATTCCTTATTTTTTTTTTTTTTTTTAGTTTACTTATTTTTTTAACTTGTTCTTATTTTGCTTATTCCTTAATTTTCCTGTTGAAGAAACCTTTGCTACATGGCTGGAGCCTTTGAATTGGGGTAGGAAATTTTTTTCTTTAAGTCCAGTTGCTTGAGTCACTGAGATAGACTCTATGCTGCTAATTTTACTGGGAATGTATGACAGAAAACTATAGCCCAGGAAGAGCCGCTGTCAGTCTTCCAGGATGCAAACGCTTAGGGCAGGAAGGGCAACTATAATGCAGTGAATAAGTACTCTATATTGCATGTGCTCCTTGCAACATTTCAACAGACTAAGACCTGTACTTATTTGTCTGAAGTCACATGTAAGTGTCAGTCTGGGCATTTAAAGTCTGCAAAGCCTCCAGGGCACTGGCTCTCCACTTTCCTGGCACTGCGACCCTTAATACAGTTCCTCATGTTGTACTGACCCCAACAATAACATTATTTTATTGCTACTTCACAACTGTAGTTTTGCTGCTGTTATGAATCATAATGTAAATGTCTGATATGTGTCCCCTGTGGGGTCTCGATCCACCATTGCTCTGAGGATTATGTTGGGCATGTGTCTGTTCCATGCAGTAGCCAGCACTCAAGTGTGGCTGATGGCAACTTGAAATGTGGCTAGTGTGAGTCAAGATGTGCTACAAAGCACACTATAGCTGGGCGTTGGTGGCCACGCCTTTAGTCCCAGCACTTGGGACGCAGAGGCAGGAGGATCTCTGTGACTTCTAGGACAGCCTGGTCTGAAGAGCGAGTTCCAGGACAGGCTCCAAAGCTACAGAGAAACCCTGTCTCGAAAAACCAAAACAGCAAAAACACACTATACTTTGAAAATACTCTATGGAAAATATACATTTAAAGATGTGTATTTCTTCATTCATTTATGCGTGTGTTGCTATGTGCATGTGTGGAGGAGAGAGAGCTTTGGGAGTCAGTTTTCTCCTGCCAGCATATTTGTCCCAGGAATCAAACTTAGGTTCTCAGGCTTGGTGCCAAACCCCTAACCAACTGAGCCATCTCTCCAGCTCTAAGTTTTTAAATATGCATTTATGTCGAGATGAGCATTTTAGATGTATTGGTTTACATATGTATTTTCTTAAAAATTAATGTCACCCACTTTATTATGGCTGTCAGGGAAAAAAACCTTAAAACTATGCATGAGGCTTATATTATGTTACCATGCTAGCAGCACTGACTTAGATTCTCAGAAGTAAAATTTGAGGTTTTAAAAAAAGTTTCCAGGAATTAAAATCACCAACTGCCTACACTAGATCCTTTTTCTTCTGAATAGATTTCACGTTGATTTACAGAAAGTATTGTCTTACATGTGCATCCAAGAATCCTGCAGGGTTACATCATCCCCTAAAGGCACTATGGATGAGAGGGTTCACACTACAGAATAGCCAACTCCACAGTTCCTAGAGCCACTTCAGGAAGGGTGATGGTACCCTGTCATTTACCTGTCAGTCTGTCTTTCAATCAGCCATCCTTGCGTGCATTCGAGATAGTCCATTGGAGATTGATTTTGGTAAGAGAGCTATGTCTCAGGCAGCCTCAGGCTGCTTTTGGTCCTATGTTTACCATGGTGGCTCCCATCAACTAGAAACAGTGTCCTCAGCTCTCTAGTATAAATAAGGACTCCACAAATCGTATCACTGACAGCTCTGTTGTGGGCTGGAAGGCTCTCTGGAACACCTACTATGGGCCTTTGAATTCTTTCCACTGAGCAATAAAAGGTACTTCTTTCTTAAGCATATAAATTTATCAAGATTAAGCCCTTAGTTATGAAAGACTGTAAACTTCTTTGGAATAATTCCCCAGATAAAGGGAAACTTTGCTTATAAACTGCATAAACTGGAAAGTACAGGTATGTAGCAGCACCCAGGATGAGGGCCCTTTGTGGACAGGAGTCTCCTAAATGTAAAGAAAACGAGGGGGGGGGGAGGAAGAAAAGGAAAGGAAGGAAGCAAACAGGCCGAATAGCCTTCTGGGAAAGTGGACTTCTATATGGCCATTGCTTTCTGTGACAGCCAGTTTGGGTTACACAGACATCTATCTTAAAAAGCCACAATTAAATGTTTCAAATACGAGTTTCTTTGGCAGGTACATGGCCCATTTCCAAACAGTGCTATGGCCAAAGGCTCCTTGACTGTCAGGCTAAGAATGCACCGTGCTTAAGCAGTCTACGGATACGTGCAGACTTTTCTCTGTCACGTTTGCATCACCCCCTCGGACAGACTTAAAAGAAAGCTAGCTGCCCTCCACGTCCTTGTGAAGCCATTGTGTCAGATACGTAAGAACAAGGGCACACTCAAACCCCAATTTCTGAGACTGTCATGTAATCCAATCATTTAGTAGCTTTCAAGAGATAATCCAATACTGTTCTAAAATCATTTCATATATGTATGTATGTATGTAATATATAATATATCTGGTGTTTTGTCTGCATACCTGTGCACCACATGGTACATGCAATACCCATGGAAACCAAAATAGGGCTTTGATTCCCCTAGAACTGGAGTTACAGACGGGTGAGTCTCCATGTGGGTGCTCGAGAAAGTAAATCTGGGTTCTCTGGAAGAGCGGCCAATGCTCTTAACACTGACTCATCTCTCCAGCCGCACATATATTTGATTAAACAACCACTATTTAATCTAAGCTGACTGAGTTATGTGGGTTGGCCCAAGATAAAGTTGGGTCGACATTTAAAAATGTCATTGGAGGCCTGGAGAGATGGTTCAGCAGTTGAGGGGCACCGGCTGCTCTTCCAGAGGACCCGGGCTCCATTCTCAGCAACCACAGGCGGCTTACAATGTCTGTAATGACAGTTCCAGGGGACCCCACACCCTCACAAGGGCAAAAGTGACATCTGAAAGGACTGTTTAGTGTTTTACTTTTCTTCTTGCTATAACCAAACTTTAGAAACAAAACAAAACCAAGAAACGCCCTAGGGAAAATCGCATCTTTTGCTCAAGAGGCAACCGTGGTACGGAAGACAGCAGTTTATGGGGCCGCTGCTGACCCTGTACCTGGTACAGGAGTGCGCACACACTGGTTGTTAGCTTGCTTTCTTTTTTATTAATCTGGGACTTGAGCCCATGTGATGGTGCTACCCACATCTGGATCTCTGTCTTCGGTTAACCTTTCTAGAAATTCCCTTCCAGACACGCTAGGGGCCTACCTCCCGGGTGAGTGTACGGTGACACTGAGGATGGGCCTCTAGCTCTCATGTGGAGAAGGCTCTGGGGATACAGCGGGCTAAGGAGTCCATCTCAACTGTGTGGCAGACACCAGGAGAAAAGTCAATGCAGTTTGAACAAATGTGTCACAGAACCAGTGAAGTTATATGCAAGTTAAAAAGAAGCCATGACTTCTTCATTGTCAGAGGTTACATCTACTTCTATTTCCCCTGAGTCACCATCCATACTGTGGGCTTTGTTGTTGCTGTTGTTTGTAAGGAAGCCGAGCCACTTGCTGTTCTGGTCCCACATGACAATCATTCCTCACTGTTACAGTTCCTTGTGCCTTTGCCTTTGTCACGGCTTACACAAACTGCGGGCTGTGGGGTGGTGGGGACGTTTCCTAGAATTCATGCATCTAGGTGAGTACCTCGTCCAGCGGGCAGAGACAGGTGACCCTGGAGGGCAGCTTTACTCTCTTGGACCAGGTACAGTTGAGTGTGTCTAGTGGAGGCACTGACTGGCCATAACAGTAAGGTTCACATGGGTTGGCCAGGGTGAGGTGGGACTGTCCCCTGGGTTATGAGGAATATGGTGGGGGAGGCAGTGTAACGAATTCAAGGATTAAACACCTCCCTAGCTGCTTTCCTCAGAGCGGCCTACATCTTACAAAACATCCAAACGTTGCGCACTTTTTTAAACTTACAAAGATGCGCGTCACTGATTTGTTAGCGCTTCCTACTTGGAATGAGAGCAACTGGAGATGTAGAGAAGAGAAGATGCCAAACTGCACCAGTGTTGAAGATGAAATTCTGGGGTTAGCTTACAAAAATACACACCAATACACTAAACACCGAACAAAAACCCAGAGTATGGGGTATTTAAAAATACTTTTCTTTTAAATCAGCACCAAAAAAATACCCTTAGCTTCTGTATTACCTGTGTCCAGTTAAAAGTACTCTGCAGCATTCACCACAGATACATCCAAACACCTGTCAAATACATTTTGACATCAAGCTTGAGCAGGTCACTTGGAAGAAAACTGTGATTCATACAACAATAATTGAGTAGTGAGAAACCGGCTGTCTATGGGGCTGCTTTACCTCTCACACATAGGAGGCACTGGGACTTTGAAGCGTGAGGAAATTACTAGCGCCGTTAAGACGGGGGTGAAGAGTTTGTGCAGCCTTCCACGATTTCAAAGAGGTAGTGGTAGATGCTGGTCCTCCTGGCGATATCGGAGGCAGTTTCCTGTGAGTTGTTCTTCAGCCCCGGTTTGATGTAACGATTCATCAGGAGCAGCTCCAGGGTTTCCCTGCTGTCCCTGTTCCCAGCAGCAAGGTGCAAGGGGGTCAAGAGGCCTTTGGTTTGGGCGTTGATGTCTGCATCGTGCTGAAGTAAGAAAGAGGCTACCCTGGCATTGTTCCACTTACAAGCACTGTGCAGCGGTGTCCAGCCATCCACAGTCACTGCGTGAACATCTGCCCCCTGTGCCACCAGCTCACGAACAATGTCTAAGTGTCCACTGTAGGCTGCTCGGTGAAGAGGCGTATACTCATCCTCATCCCTAGTGTTCACTTCAGTGGCCTTCTCAGAAAGCAGCCTCTGCACGGTAGCAAGCTAAGGAAGAAAGGAAGAGAGCCTTCAAAGTCCAACCCAAAGCCAAAGGTAATTGTATCACCCAGTGGCTGTGGACTTTTAAGATTTTCCCTAAAGGGGAGAAGTCACAGGTTCATTACACTCAGCTGCATCTCGACAACCAGATTCCCTGACTATCACCCCATACATTTATCCTACTCCAATAGATGCTCATTGCCCAACGCCTTGGCCTTAATCGAACAAAGGGTTTAACTGCGTATTTCAGTTAGCTTTGTAAAGCAAACCTAACTTTTGTATAGTAGTTTATCAATATACATAGTATATGAACCAAAAAATAAAAATGAAACTAACAGTAGAAAAAGTGACATTGAAGCAACCTAAAGACTAATGCGCTCAACTCCTCCTACAGACAAGCTCAAGTACATGTCATGTTTCTGGGCATCAAGTTTGGGCTTGGACATGGATCTCTGACAGAATACATTGTGTGCTGGGATTATACAGTGTCAAACCCTTTCTAGTTCTTTCTTCATCAACTCAGATATGGGAGAATTTAGTAGAATTAAGTACAAATGGTCAAGTGGGAAGAATTGATTTTGGGTACTTGTTTTAAATAACTCAGGGCAAATTTGTCTTGACTTTCTTGTAAGACTTTTTGAGGAGTAAATCGTGCAGGAAGACACTTGATGGAGTTGTCATCTAAGTAAATTTCCATCTTACCTATCCTTAGCAATACTTACCTGTAGAATAATCCTAATGATCTAATTAGAGGGTTGTTAATAATTACCCCCAGACCTCCCAACATCTAATCAGTTTATAATGCAATGTACATTTTTATACACACTTTCATTTGACATTCCCACATAAATGGGACATATATTAAGCTGCCATTTTTTAAAGACAAGAAGTTAAAAGGGTCAGAAATGGTGGAATAACCAAAGATAAAGCTAGAGGTTCAGGAGCAGGTCTTTGCGCTCCAAACCAAATGCTTTTCCAAGTACGTAATTGTTTCTTTTTTTACCCGATTTTTTTCAGCAGCCCACAGAAGCAATTTGCTTGGATCTTTTTCCATTTTTTTCTCTTGCAATTGATACCACTCTTCCTGTTTCTCCTCTTGCTCCTCGTCGTCATCAGAGTCGCCTACCCAGAGACTCTGCGTACCAGTGGGAATCAGGTGTCTGTGTGTCTCCAACAATTCAAGCTGATTAAACTGCTTAGAAAAATCTAGAGAGTTCTCTGGGTCTGGTTTTTCGTCATCGCTTATTTTTTCTTTTTCCATTTTTCCTAATAAATAAAAAGCATTTCAAGCAGTTTTTCCAGAGACAAATTCTATCTGCACTGTTTGATTCACTCCGATCTGAAAACACAAACACAGCCATCATTAGACATTGGTAAATGGAAATCAGCAACATGGTACCAACCTTGCAGACAAGACAGACAAACTCTGTCATAAAGTCCTAAGTGTTTTCTTATAATACCCGTTACATTTACTGAATATTGGAGCTCAGAGGTTCCTGTTATCTATGATCATTTATAGTCTTTATCATTTTAAAAAGTTTTCTTCTACTAAGTAATAGACATAAATGCCTTAATATGAATCTAGTAACATATATACTGAGACAGATGGAACCCAGGTTCAGGGAGTACTCAGGAGGGCCACCATTCACCCAGTCCTAAAAGATTAAAGTTTTCCAGTGGGCAGAGATGATTGCTCTGCTAGCCAAGTGACATGAGCTTAAAGTGTCACCCAGAATATAAGCATGAGTTAAAGAAAACAAGAAGTTACTCTGGAAACCATTTATCACTCTCTTAACTATATTTGTTGAACTTTGTCATTTTTCATTGATATTTTCAAACGCTGCCACTTTCATTCTCTGTTGAGCCGATTAGATTTCTGTCTAAGGTTTATTCTTTTAGGTGCTATCTCTTCTTATTCTGCCATAAACCTTTTAAGGATAGGCCATATTCAACTTAGATTTGTGTGTGTGTGTGCCATTTGTATGTAATCCCCATTAAAAACTATTCGTATCGTTACATTTAAGACCCATCATTTAATTTTGCTTTGAATAGCCTCTAAGAGTAACTAGTCAGTTATTAAAAAAAACCCTCATGGTTTTGTTCTATTTAATTTCATGTGTTTAACGTTTTGTTGTCCTAATAAGCTTCATTACTAGTGACGAGAACACCAAGATCATGACCAGTAACAATGTAGGACCTAAAACTGCACTGTGAAATGTAAAAATTCCACTGAGGTTTGTAAGATCTTGACCAGGCTCTTTTTTTTTTTTTTTTAAAGAGCTACCAGAACTATTTTCCTGCAGTTTTCAAGTTTTCCTTTCACCTTAACTTACTACGTCATTAAACGCTTAACATGCTAGTACCATACATCACCGCCCAGACCGCAGCCCCGTCCCACGCCTGTCGTTGCCTGTTACTTCGGACTTTACCGTTCCAGACGTAAGCTTGGTATATTTAATCTAGAAATAAAAGCCAGATGGGCGTCCTGGTTGCGGGTACAAAGCTCGATGCACACCGTTGTGGAGGAGTAACGGGGTGTCGCCGCCTCGAAGGGACCGCTCCACTCGGGGAGACTGACTCTGCCTCCGGGGAGATGGAGCGCCCCGCCCCGGTTCAGCTAACGCCAGGCGCGGCGCAGCCGGACCGTCCGGGGTCGGGCCGGGCTCACAGCCGCCCGCCGCCGCCGCACGGAACCGCGCGGAGCGCACCGCTTCCGGGTCCTCCCCCCGCCGCCTCTGATTGGCTGCGTGCGGGCCGGAGCCATTCCCTAGCCAATGAGAGCGAGGAAGGCCTGTGACGCAGACGCGCGTCCGCGGGTCTCGCGAGAGGTGCAGACGCGGCTCTCCCGCGCCGAATTCGGGTTTGTGAGTGCCGAGTTGTCGCCGTGGCGGCTCCCGCCGTCGTCGCCGCAGCCCGCGGCCTCGCTGTGGGCTCTGACCACTCGGGTTGGGGGAACCGAGGCCTCGCCCCGGGCTTTCCGCGCGGGGTTCGCGGCGGAAGTCCAGGGTGCGCGGGGCCGCTGTGGAAGAGGGGCCGGGTGGGCCGGGAGGAGTGCGGGCTCTGCGTTCCGGCCCGGAGCCCCGCGCGTGCACGGCCGTCTGTGCCGGCAGCGCCGCCCGCTCGGGGGTCGCCGAGCCGAGCTGTCACGCACACACGTGCTTGGCCATGCATTCGCGCTTTGCATGGCAGCTGCCCCGTCTGCCAGTGTTAAGGGTGCGGTGGTCTCTCCTCCAAAGCCCGGTAGCTGAAATTTATGCGCGGAAAGAGTTAGGTTTGAGCCTCTGTGTCCAGGGATTTTCTACACCCGGATCTCATTTAGAAATCAGGAGAGAAGTAGTCACGATCGTGCAATCAGGGTCTCACGTGGAGATCCGACTTTCTCTATTCTCAGGTCATGAAACAGCTACACTAAGAGTTGAAGATGAAAACTGGCCTTTTCAAAATTGCCGGTGCTACCCTGCAACTGAACTCGCGTGGGTGAATTATGCGCAGCCTTTATAAGATGTGTATTTTGATATTTATTTTTAGAGTTTGGAATCGGGTGGCCTTTCCGACATACCTGAACGGAGGAGCCCAGGGTACTTGAAGAGGAACTCTACCCCAGAGGAGCTCTGCCATAAAAATGAGCCCCACAGATCCACTGTAAGCCTGACTTATTAACTGTGTTGACCTTAAGAGAAAACCTGACACTCTAACAAAAACAGCAACAGAAGTTGTTAATGAACAGACTATCACCAAAGTCATGCCTGGCGCACTTAAGAGCACACTCTGTGTGCGTATTAGCAGAAAGATAATATGGAGTTGTAGGAGTGTGTTGCAGTAACTTATTACATGGCCTTGCAGGAAACTTCATGCTCACATGCTTTGTGCAAAGTGCAGAGTCTATAGATAGCCTTTTAGAGTAAGTTGCTCTAGGATTGAGTAAATGGGAATGAATTTGAGTGAAGTGGAAACACAGAAGAACTATGAAGTTGTGGTGGGGGCTTGAACGTGGATGAAGTCTTCCTCTCTGGTTTCAGGTTCTCGGAAGGCCAGCAATCCTCTGGGCTTGCCGTGTTTTGTTTTTCATTTGTATTTAGTCTAAATGAGAGAATTAATGTGGGATCACATACCCTGGGAGGGAATGGTGTGTGAGCCGAGAAGCTTGTGGAGTAGCCAGGACTCCATGAGGTTTCTGAGTGTGGAGTTGTATACAAAATATATTTTGAATTCAAAGTGGATCAGTGAAGATAGCCAGTTCGTTTGTTTTCTATGCCCTTTAGTCTTGTTTCTGCTACTAGTGTGTAGTGAGTGAGTTATCTTCTCTGTATCTGGCCTTCATATTTTTTAGAGATAGTGGCTGTGCCTGCCTCTTCCCCTCTGGGGACTGATGAGATCTTAGATATGGAAGTATTTTAAAGAACTAAACTTAGTGCTAAGAAGTTTAGTGAGTGTTAATAATGATGAAGCTGCTGGTTCACATGAAAATACCTTTATCAAATTTTGTTTGGGTTTAGACAACTCTTTTGTTACCTAGCCAAGTTTATTATTGAAGAACAGTGTAAAGAACAGAGTCAAGCAGTTGTTCTCAGGGTTTGGGATGTAAGCAGCTAGTATAAAACTATTCTTAAACTTAGAAGAAGACTTTTACATGACTTGCCTGGAAGAGTGTACAGTCAGTAACAGGGAAGCAAAGCCTTTTTGGTTTTTATGTAGCAAAGTAGGGAACAGATCTGGCAGTGTATCCAACTGATTATAACACGGCTATGAATTTTCAGAGGAGACAGGGAACACTTAACAAACATTGCTCTGTATTGAGTTCGAAATGGGAAGCTGTGATGTTAAAGATCTGTTGAGTAATGCAAACTTTCATGCCAAGTCCGAGGCTAGAAAAATGATTACGGTTGCTATTATTTATTTTATGTTTAGGTCTCCATTTGCTTGACTATCCTTTTAATGAGCTGAATTGAATTTTGTTTTCATACAGTGATGATGAAGACACATTTAAAATCCTGGTTGCCACTGATATTCACCTTGGATTTATGGAGAAAGATGCAGTTCGAGGAAATGATACGTTTGTGACACTAGATGAAATTTTAAGACTTGCCCTGGAAAATGAAGTATGCTTGGGTTACATTTGTTTGTGCTCTACTGTACTTAACTTGGGTAACAGGCTTGTCCATTCATTCAGAGTTAATTTAATGACCTCACACACTCACATTTCCTGGCTGAATTATCAATATACTAAAAGCCCAGTTAAATTTTTTAGTACTTCATGCTCATAATTGGAGCAGAAACTGCCTTGACAACCTTCAAACTTAGAAACACCGGGAATTTAATGATGCGCTAACCCGTTATGATTTCTACCTGAAATAAAGAGGTGGCTGTTAGTTTTCAGAGAACATAGAGCCAACTGAAATGTGAGACAAAAAATCCCAAACATTCAAATACAAGGTTATTTGTGGAAAGGCTCTAGAGGCACCATTTCCTGGGACTTGAGAGGTAGAGATTGGTGTTTAAATGAAGCTGCATGAGCTTAGTCAAGGAGGTGACATTTAACGACGTGTGTTGAAGGAGACAAAAGCAGCCTTTAATGTTGGGTGACACAGAGTGGGCATTCAGGGTGAAGCAGAGATGGAGACGCAGGTGTAAGACATCATGGCGTCTGTTAGGTGACTGGGCGGTTCGCCTGTGGACCATGTGTATGCCGAAAAGGACTGAGTTGGTAGAGTGCTTGTGTAGCATGTGCAAAAAGCCCAGGGTGTGATCCCCAGCACCATGTAAAACTTGAGTGTAGTGGCACACCGTAATCCTAACACCGAGGGGAGGAGGCAGGGCGTTCAAGGTCACCCTTCATCATCAAGGTCACCCTTCATCATCAAGCTCACCCTTCACCACTTGAGTGATTTTGAGGTCAGCTTAAACTACGTGAATGAGACCTTATATTAAGAATAAATGTTTCGAGGCTAGAACTGAAATCATTTGAGCTGTGTTGATGAGGAGAGCTGCAAACAGCAGACTCAGTGTGCGTCCTGTGAAGTGGAATGTCTTCTTGCAGCCTGGTATTGTAGCACATATTTTAATCGCATTTTATTAATGCTTTAAAAACTGGGGTTATTAAGGGTGGGAAGAAAAGGTAAATATGAGAGAAGTTACAAAGAGAAAGTGTACATACATTAATTTTCAGGATGTAAAATTTGAGTCCAGCGTGTTGAACCTGGGTGGATGATGGTGGCATTGTAAAACACCTAATGGAAGGGGATTCTGTCTGTGGGAAGGTGTTGAACTCTGGTGGAGATTGCAGTGGAGCAGCGTCCTAGTGGATGGATGACTGTCGACAGAGCCCAAGAGGGAGCAGGAGGGTAAACACACTGGTGCCTCTGCCTAACCAGCAGTTTCCCTTCAGGATCTGT